ATCTTTCTCCCGCGGAGCGGCTGGTAGTTTCGAACCGCTGACCTTTAGGTTCGCAGCCCAATTCGTAACCACTACGCTACCAGAGCTCCTTAATGTTGGAGAGGACTATAAAAAGTACCATGGGCAGCCAGAAGAACAACCAGATCTGTGTTGGGTGAAGAAGTACAGCTGGAATATTACTTAGAATCCAGGGTGGGGAGACTGTCTCTCATACTTTGTACGTATTATCAGGAGGAGATAGTAGCTGGAGAGAGACATCATATTTGGTAAAGTAGAGGGTCATTGAAGAATAGGAAAATCTCCAACAATATGGACTGGCATAGTGCTGGCAGCAATGGGCTCAAGCTTAACAACAATTGTGAGGAAGGCACAGAACTGGGCATGTTTCATCCTTTTGTACGTAGGGTCTCTATAAGTGAGAATTAACTTGAATGCAGCTAACATCAACAACAGTGCTGTTCAATTCCAATGTTATTTCTTTGTCAATGCCTTCAGTGCGTGCACCTTTAACTTCTTCCTTCAGTATCATTGACTCTTTTTTTTTTTTTTTTTTTAAGTCACAACTTTTATTATGATGATTTATGTATTTTGTAGAAAAAGGTATATAGCAAACGGGTCTGAGTTGGCTGTATGAAAACAAAACTCCAGCTTTGTACAGGCTATTTACATTTGGCAGGGCTCTCCCACATCAGGCGCAGCCATTGTGCTTGTCTGAGTCCCCTTTGCAGATGCAGCCCTGGACACACTTGGCACAGCCCACGAGGCAGCGGGAGCTGCGGCTCTTCTTGCAGGAGGTGTATTTGCATTCTTTACATTTGTAGGACCCTGCGCAGGCGCAGGAACCACCCGCAGCGCAGGAGCAGTTGGGGTCCATGGAGAGTTGAAGTGCTGGCTGGAGTCCGGAGACCTTAAGAGTAGTAATGATGCTCAGCTCTTGGGGAAGGCACGGTACCATTGACTTTTGATCATATGCTATCTTTTGAAATGGTTGAATGTCAGCCATTTCTTTTTATTTAGTACAGTGACTGTGTGATCCTTCCAATCTTCTATTGTTGTTGTTGTTTGTTAAGTGCCGTCGAGTCGGTTCCGACCCATAGCGACCCTGTACAGGGTTTCCAAGGGTGTAAATCTTTACGGGAGTAGAAAGCCTCATCTTTCTCCC